TTCTATTGTGTTACGAAGCCTCATTATTAGGCCTGTCTCTTATACACATCTAGATGTGTATAAGAGACAGTAGTAACACAGTGAGTCGTTATCACTTGAAAGTTGAAATTTATTCAGATTTCAACTTGACACACACGAACTCAAACTAGACTACATATTTTCTTACAAAAAATCTCGGTCTACATCTTCGTGCTGCAGATCCTGGTGTCAGCGGCAGGATATTTGATCACTAACAATAGAGAACTTCTTATATCATTAGTCTGCTTATATCGCAAGTTCACAAAGAATTTAAAAGCAAAGAAAACGCCAAGCAAAAATCATAAAATGATTTTATTCATTTTTAGATTGTCCAACTGATGATGGAGCTGGACTCAAAAACGTTTTCAATATCGATAGTATGGTGTATTTGCTTGGCGTTTTCTTTGCTTTTAAATTCCTAGAGAAATTCTAGTTGATCACTAACAATCCTTCTCTGTTTCCGTCCAGGAGGGCCTGACACAAGGACTTGTTCTGAGGGATGGTCTGCAGGATGGAGCCGTCGTTGGTCACGTATCCTATGGCCCACTGACCGAGTCGCGTACACGACAGCCTGAACACGTAACTGGAACAACAAAAAATCTCAATTTGAAACTTGAAGAGAAATCAGGATAACATTTACAGGTTACTGCAGACATATGAGCTGCCCAACACATATTCAGTACTAAAACAATGAATTGCCCATTTAATGCGGAGACACAGAATGAGAAATGCTATATATGCACCAGTTAGAGAGCCGAAATATGAGGCAAATTTTTAATAATATTTACAAAATGCAACATAATCTTTGACAACTTAAAAAAAATACAAAATTAATGCAAACTATAAAATCTTACTAATTGACCAAATAAATTCGACAAAGACAGTAAGGACGCAATATACACCTTCAAATTTAGTCAGAAAGGATGTTTTTGAAAGTAACATTAACATTTTTTGATCTAGCATCAATTCAAAATTTCAGGCAAATATGGAGACTGAAAATCTGACACTCCATTACTCATTCAATTGATCATTTATGTCTTCAATATATGCTGAGATATTAATTGTTATTGATGAATTGATGGTAAATATCGCAAAGAAAGAGTAATAATGGAAGCAAGCCATTCTAACCTGCCGGGCTTGGAGATGTATTTCTGTAGTCTTGCTTTGACTTCATCGTAGGTGAGGAAGGCGACGTAGCCAGGGTGTGTCACTGCCAAGATCTGCCAGTTGTGCAGCAGGGTGGGCCACGGCTGAAATAATCTGCACACATTCCATGCATTACACTTCTTGAAAACGTTCTAGTTTATTTAAACCAAGCAATACAATATGCATACTAACTTATCAAAGGTGGCATAAAAATATTGGCAGGCATATACTACAGAAAAATAACATCACTAAAAAGTTAGTCTTGAAACAAATAAACCAAAAATGTAGAGAATGTACAAATTTAAAGGTCGTAATAAAAATAAAGCTTTGCTTTCATCAACAAGAATTTTAATATTTTTATTATCTTTAATGAAGAGAAAACAGACAGAAAGAAGTGGAATAAGTTCATAAATATTACAATTATAATTCACTTCATTCTTCATCAGCTATTTACTTGCATAACATCAACACTTCAATGTACATCATGTAAGTAGCAAGTGCAAAAAAATAGCCTTACCAAATGAGAGACAATAACTACGGTACCTTATATTAATAATTAAATTTGGTGAAAGACAGACATTTTGGATACTATATTGCTGGCATTTTGTGCAAATAGTTTCAACCATAATTAATTTCATGTAGGTATACATGGTGATACAAGAAAGATAGTTTCAGAAGTGGAACAAACCTTGTGAAGACGTCAAATTCAAAATTTGAGATATAGTCGTTGCAGGTGAGGTCTATTGTGGACTTGAGGGCCATAGCTTCCAGTCCAGGTCCTATGCTGTGCACTTCACTCAGGGTGTCACGGAAGAACCTCCACGGCACCACCGTCCTGTACAAGGAAGGATTCTTTCAACATACCGATAATAAAAACAACCTTCATGAGTATGGATTAAGGGAGAAAAGTCTTAAGTTATTGTGTAAATTTATCATAGATTTGTTAAAGTCTGTTTATTTGTAAGTTTGCATGTTTGCAGCTTGGTGAGACAAAGATCTATTCAAACATGTACATGCAATAACTGTCAAATCAGGATATTATCAGGTTCAAATTTTCATTCATAGTGACAGACTTAGAAGTCATTGCAAAATAGGGAGCAGAGGTTTGGATACAAAATTAAGATTTGATTATTGAATACCTACATGTTTGCAAAATTATTTTACAATAAACAAAACTTGTTCAGGTCCATTTAAAGGTGGCTGTGTTAAATAATCAATAAATTGAAAATAATTAAGAGGAAGAAAAATTTGTACATGACATTAAACACCGTAAATGCATTATCATTTCCTGATAAATGTACAATGGATGTTCAAAAGTCTATCACAAACTTTATTCACCTGTCACCAAAATTTCTTTTCCAGAACTCAGCTGCATCTCCCTTTGTTATCCTGAATTGGTCCCCTGCAAAAGCTCCTTGAGGTCCTGGGAAGATGGCCTTCAGTTCTGACAGCATGTGTGAGAAGACTAGTGAGAGCTTTGTTAAATTCCTCCTGTAGTGCGATGACTCATCGAACATCAGCTCCTTGCCTTCCTTGAAGAGCTTCAAGGCTTGTTTGCACTTTCTCATCATGTTCTCAATAAAAACCTGCACACAAGAGATTCCTTACTATTATTATGCAACCCAAGAGTTTTACTATCAAGTCTAATGCTTGGCATGAAATAATCAAGGAACATCAAAACTAAGGTTATTCCAAGTAGCTATGTTAATAGGCAATTTGAAAAAAATTCAACATTATTAAAGAAATTTGGTTTAAATATCCTTGAATAAACAGAATGAATAGATAAGGGAACACAAAACTTGTCTCTACTGCTCCTGCCTTGGACATTTGGCACCCTATCATACAGTTGGCGGTTGAATCAACCAACTTTTTCAAAAATTATTTTCATTTTGGCCATTCAGGGCATTAAACACTTCATCAGTCCCGATTGGAATGGTTCAATAAGAACAGTTAGCTTGTCCAAGAAAAATTATGAAAGAAGTTTGTTCATGACCTTAACCAATATAGGTACCTACCTAAATACTCTTTGCAATTGATAGCTAAGCTTGCATGGGGGGGAGGCACTTTAAGCATAACAACCAACATAGCCAATGACCAATGATTGGCACAGGCCTAAGAGCATTCACTATGATTGATATGGCTGATGCATGATGATCAGCACAGACATACATTAAAATTGTAGCAGATGGCAGAATCAAAGTGATGGCAATGTTGATAGATTGATCCATAGTTTATGATTACTCATGGATTACAATATAAGGTCATGGTGTCTGATGGAGAGCTTGATGACACCAATATCTTGAGCCCCCAATTGCAAATTTCACTTCCCTGACAAACATAGTGAATTTTTATACCTGCATCAAATTTTCAACATATACCGTCAAACAGGATAATAAAAGGACGGGCTGGGTAAATCAGGACATGAGCCTCACTTTTTGTATACTGTAAATGTTGTAACAACTAAACTAATTGAAATATTGCAAAACTAAAAATAAACTTCAACATTTTTTCTATCTACTATGTACCTATAGAGTTAGTTAAGAAATCATACTCTAACTCTAAAAACTCTAAACTAACTCTAAACTAACTAACTCTAAACTCTAAAAAATTGCTGAAATAAATGTGAAGTGTATGATTTTGGAAAAGTACCTTTACTAAGGTCTGAAGCAAAAATATATTTGCTGTATTAAAAAAATTTTACTTGCATAAAAGTTGCACACAGGTTTTGGCTTGAAAATGCGATTGACAGAATTTGCCTATCTCATTCCAAAAAAAAAGGCAGCCATTTCCACACGATGGGGTAATAAGGGACACCCCCCGGAATAATAAGGGACACCCATAAAAACACATTTACAGTTTAAACTTTAACCTCTGTTAGCAAAGGCTCCAGTTAACAAAAAATCAATCAACAATAAAGAATTTTGATTACATTTGCCTCGCACAGCAAAAAAATTTCACTTATCAAAAATTTATGCATCATTGGTCATCACAAAATTGTGCACAGAATGTCATATATAGAATTGTGCACTGGGCATCATAGAATGAAAAGTAATTAACCTACACGATGATTTATTGCTCCAAAACATATGATGGTTGTTTCTAAAAATTCTTTTCTGTTTCAGGTATATTTTTACTATCTTTTTTTTATAGCGAATTCACGTAACCCAATTAAAATGGTGTGAAATTACAAGCCATCCTGTAAGCTTACAGATACAGAAGAAATGCTATACAGCTGCTGGTATGAAGCTTGCAGTGGACAAGGTCGTAGTAAATGCTCAATGGCATGTTTATGGATACTACTACTGTAATATCACATCAATAATACGGTAATGAATGAATATGGCAATATTATATCAATAAAGGGTAACAAGTAAAAAACACAGAAAATGTCATTTATTCTACATCTAAATCATCTACAAAACTACAGTGAAAGAGGAGGACTTCAGAGTACTATTAGTAATGGATGAGTACACTCTGCATGCTTCAAACATTTTAAAATTTAGTTTTATTTCAAGTGTCCCAGATTATCCCATTCCCAGGGGTAATTTGGGACAGTTTTATTTTGCGTCTGGCACCTTACGAATAGCATATGTAATTTTTTTAAGATGCCATTCGATAGCCCTCGCAAAGAGTTATAAAATGAGCCTAAACTTGTTTATGCAAGGTTTCATGGTAAGAAGTTATTAACAAAAAACGCTCAAAACTGTCCCTTATTACCCCGTTTGAGGGTACATAAATATTTGGGACAAATATCTCTATCTTGCCTTGGAATTAGTTAATTCTCCTGAAATTTACTTTATAGTTTCCACAGAAATAAAATAGCTACAGCATGGAGAGCCCATACAACACAGCATGCTGCTCAGCAACCTTTGATATGTGCTAAGCTAACAGAGCAATTATTGATTTTTTTTATCAAGAATCAGGTATTTTTTGTCATCAAAAAATTTTATCATCAATTTTACAGATTTTATTTTCCAGATTGCACTGCAGAGTTCAATTTGAATTTGTATATTGTTTTATGCATATTACAATTAATGGCCCAAGCCAACTGCAGAGTTCATTAACAGCCATGCTGGTTAACCTAATGTCACATTTCTTGCACTTTCTCCATCTATGCTTTACATTCTGCTGGAGAGTGGAGACCTACTATGTGTCATTGACTGTAAAAATTTTTTCAACAAATATCCACCATCAATGCAGATAACTTCACCACAGCTTATTGGCTGCCAGTATTCAATATTGGCATCAGTGGCATTTAATGTGTAAATATCTACTATTTCAACTACAACTAGAGCTTTTTCTCAATTTTTAGAACTGCAAGATCATGGCCAGATGAAATACCTCATATATTTAATAAGAAAAGTATATGGTTGGGCCACAAAATTCCAGTGTTGAATATTCATAACTTTGAGGCCATGAAATTTCTGTAATAAGTACCATCAGACAGGGTAATAAGGGACAGGTGGGGTAAATTGGGACAATCCTCTGCCACAGCATATAAATGTTATAGCAGCAAAAGTAATTAAAATATTGCAAAACTAAAAATAATGGTGTAAAGTTCTAAATTTTTCCTATCTATGAAGCATAAAGGAAGTTAAGATATCATACATTTGCTAACTCTAAAAAATCCCTCCAAAAATGTTGTATTTAGAAAAGATACTTCTGCTAATGTCTGTAGTAAAAAAATATTTGCCGTGTAAAAAAAAATTAAAACAATACATGTCAGATCTGCCACTTTAAAAAGTGGCAAACAGGTGTTGGCTTTAAAACTTCATTGGTGAAATTTTTGTACCTCAGTCCAAAACAAAATGGCAGCCATTTCCACAAGATTGAGCCCTAAAATGCATTTATAGTAGAACCTTGGTTAGCAAAGGCTACAGTTAACAAAAAAATTTATTAACAACAAAGAATTTTGATTACATTTACCTTGCTCAGTAGAAAAATTTTACTTAACGATAAATTAATGCATCATCAGTCATCACACAATTGTTTACAGAATGTCAGATAGAATTGTGCACCGAGCAACATAGAATGAAAAGTACCGTCAAACAAGGTAATAAGGACGGTTTTGAGCGTTTTTTTGTTAACAACTTCTTACCATTGAACATTTCATAAACAAGTTTAGGCTCATTTTAAAGCTCTTTGCAAGGGCTATCAAATGGCTTTTCCAAAAAAATTCCATATGCTATTCGTAAGGTGCCAGATGCAGAAGAAAAGTGCCCTGAATTACCCCTGGGCATGGGGGCAATCCAAGACACTCAAAATAAAACTTAATTTTAAAATGTTTGAAGCATGTCGAGTGTACTCATTTAACCTACTAATGGTGTAGTTCAGTCATTATTGTGTGAAATGGCTGGGAATAATGCTTGATTGAATAACAACAAACACTCTGTAAATCACGAGTTTATCAATCAGTACGATATTTCTAAGTGACTAGCAGGATCATACAATTCATGATCACTCTAGACTATTTATAGAATTAGACGTCATACTGCAGTTTTAGAATTAAATTTCATCAAAGTATATTCAATCATTCGAACCTGGATTAAATACGTATGTCGGACAATTCAGGTTTTTTTATATAAATTTTACTAGGTACTTACATAAAATATCATTTTTTCCTTGATGAAAATGACACAACTGTGCGAGGCAACATTGGCAATGCGAGGCACAACTGTGCCTCGCTCCTCGCACAACTGGCAATGCACAACTGTGCGAGGCAATGTGTTGCTGTGCGAGGCAACATTGGATGAAGTAAATTTTACTTGTCCCATGCAAGTCAGTGATCGTAAAGTGGGCTACAGGTGTAATCCCGGTGCAGTGAATTCATCTAGTTTGGCACTCTCTATTCATTCAGTTTGTGACCTATATTGATAAAGGTAAATAAGCCTATAGCGCTAATGCCCGTAGCGCCGTGGCAAGGATTTTTTCATTTATACCACCGCTTATTTTCAATTAAAACGGTAACATGGGATATTTCAACCACTTCATTAAACGCCATTTCCTCAATTCGTGACAAATAATTTTGCAATTAAATAAGCAAATTCTAATAAACATTGTGCTGTGACAAGGATTTTTTTTACATTTTCACAACCTCCCGTTTTCAACTAAATTGTAAAACAGGTGGAACCAATCCTAACCTTACCTGAATGCAAACCAAAACCTGAAGTAATGTGTTAAAAATGTCCCAATTGTTCATTTAATTTCATAATTATTGGTCAAGAATTGAGGGAATTTGGTGCACATAAATGGTTGAATTCACCCGTTTTATTATTAATTGAAAACCTGAGAAGGCACAAGTGCAAAAAAATTTTTGCACCTGCACAATGAGCTGTGAAATGCGAGTACTTAATTTAATAAATATTTGATACAAATTAAAGAAATGGTGCATGCCAAAGTGGTTGAATTAACTTGTTTCATCATTTTAATGAAAAACAGAAGGAGGTAAATATGCAAAAAAATCTTCACTACAGCCCCGTGGGCCTTGAAATATGTGGATTTAATTTCATATTCATTTGTTACAAATTTGATGTACAGGGTGTTCCGAAGTAGTTACGCCAGTGTGGCCCACGCTAACGCAGTAATGCTCAAGCACATTTGTTGACTTTAATAAGTTCTAAAATTAATAGAAACATTAGTGAAACACTTTAATTCATTATCAATCACCCATAAAAGTGCTCCAAATGGGCGGAATTTGTTATCATTTTCTTAACAGTGTGCAAAGGAATGCAAAAGATAAAAAAATAAATATAAGGCTACACATTTGCTTGCATAGCAATACAATATCGGAAGTGTGTACATGCAGCATGCGATGATTTATTAAAGCAGCAGTAATACTAAGCAATATCCATGTATACGGTACTATACTTTTGTGCCCCATTGATTCAATCTAGACATATCTCCGGTATACATCATGGATGAAATGATTCATTATTAAACGCAAAAAAACTTAATGCGGCATTTAGTGACATCCACCTAAGTGAATTTCATGCCAAAAATAGATGCCTTGAGTGCTGTAGTTTGCATGTAAAGACTCTAATAAAATGATTGAAATTATAATACATTTATTGTCAATGCCACAGCCACATCAGTCACCATTAAGCAGCTACAGCACCTAGCTTGCCGCTCAACAATATATATAGTCAAATGGGGTAAGACAGGATCGCTGCCTTCATGGGGTAAGAAAGGACCAGCCCATGGCGTACATTCTAATTGCACTGAATTCAATTTGACAAAGGAATATGTTAGAACAATCATTGCCTGTCATTTTGGTGTTTGTGGCAACCCTCTTCTGCAAATACTGAATTTCTGACTAATTTTTAAAGAAAACCTATGTAAAGAAGGGAAAATAGAAATGTCTCTTTTAATTAGTGAGCTGCAGAATCATTTGCAAGAGTGGTTGGGGGAAAAATTATTGTATGAAACATGAAAAATAATTATGATCACAACTCTGTGAGAGGGCATGAGCTATGTTTGATGAAATGCACCAAAAATGCAGTAAGCAAGAAAACACATGACATCTGCCACTTAAGTTATTATACATTGGTTTTATTACCAATTTGATAAATTTTTCAGACAGTGACACTAATGGAATATACATGAAGCATTTAGCAGTGCTCTACAATGAACCAAAGCAACACTTGATGCCTCTGTACCAAAAACATTCAATTTATTGGAACCTAATACCTACACACTAAAGGCAACAAGTTTATATACCAATTTGTCATTCATAGTACATTTATACTATACCATGAATAACAATACCTTAATATAAATTAAAGACTGCCACTCAATATATTTAAATATGAAAAAATAAAAAAAATTGAAAAAATAAAAAAATCAAATTTTTTTTATAAAAAATCAAGTGATTTAATCACATGATTTAATCATTTTGATTTAATCATTGCCAACCCTGCTCATTACTCTTATACTTGGCAAGCCAAAGGGCTGTATTGACACATTGTGATCATGTCATATTTGCTTTTCAAGCAATACCGTACGACGGTCGAGTGGGTCAACGAACATGAACATTGCTCCTGGTCCAGTAGCTACTGTTCGATTGAGCGTCTGGCTTCAGTATTTTCTTGCCTTTGAACTTTGCGCAGATTTCACTTTTCTGATTGCGCTGCAGAATTTGACTTGAATTCATTATCAATTTTGTGCATCCTGCAGAATTAGTGCCAATTTTTTGCAGCCAGCAAATTCATTAACAGGTGTACTAATCCATCTGAAGGTGTGTTTTTTCCACTTAGGCCTGAAGGGATGAGTATGACTTGTTCTTACCTAAATTGTCAAGCATGGCCTTTAAATTTTTCAGACTTAAATTTTTACAACAAAACACTGTCCTACATGGATGGAGAGTAATGTATAAACCACCATTTTTAGAATTCCCTCCTGCTCCTGGTAGATATATTCCAGGCCAGCTGCAAAGTAGTGACTTATGCATCATAAATGGAAATTCTTTTATTCCATTGCAGACTTGCAGTTTGCACAAATGGCAATGCAACCTTTTTACTTAATAGCTACTCTCATTTTGGTCTTAATGATTTTACAAAGAAAAATTTTACTCTATAAATGAAGAATCTTTATTCACAATCATATTTTACTTGTGAAATTTTACAAAATTATTCAAGGAATTCTGCATCCATAGAAAAATAAATCAACACCTGGAAAGCAATTGCACGGTTTATAAAATGTCAAGTATCACTCACCTTAAAATATTCATTGCTATTAAGTGATGCTAAGTAGTTTTCATATTTGTTATAAATTAATCTAAGATGTTGATAAGTGTCAGGTAAAATATCTAAGATGAATGGTGGTGAATTTTTCAAGTTCATCTTGGGTTGTTGACACTGCTTCACAACGCGATCCATCAACTTCCACGTTTTTTCTAGAGTTCTTTTATCAATAACTAACTTTGGAGGAGCCATTGCATCCGTGAATGCTCCTTGTAAGCGTGAAAGTATTGATGAAATATTTTTTGGATGACCATTTCTGAGCCTCGTACTTGAAGCCATCTTGATAGTAGTGAAGAAACTAGAAAACTGAAAATCCAAGATGACTATGTACCAACTAACGTAAACAATCTCCTTATCAATGAATTCGCTATCATGAAAAGCCGAATGCCATTCATTCTGGCAACTGAACATATTTGTTCATTTACATTATATGGCCACTTTATGATCATATTATAAACTTAAAGTCTCTTATTCTTATAATGGAAAGTTTTCAGTACATTAACAGGAAGATTTTATACACAGATGTGTACTTCGGCTTTGAGTATTATAGTTTAAATACAAAAAAAAAAAGATATAAGATAATATCAGCAACGTTGGCACTTGAAGTTCTCTTAGAGAAATGCTATTAGTTATTATATGTGCCTCTATTTCTATGAACTGCATTTCCGCTCATTCTAACTCTATATCAGATATCTGCATATGTATTTTGATATATATATATATTTGTCACGCGAAGTAACATACTGTAATTTAATCCCAAAAATTCACTGTCACTTTATACTAACAGAGTTTTCGGTAATTTTAGATATAAAATTCAATTGAGTTATAATTGAACCCTTTCTACTACTAGTCATCTACTCGCAAAGATTTCGCTTACACTTATTTCACCTAATTTTCTGATCGTACTGTTTTGGGAATATCATTCCGTACATAATTAAAAAAAAATAAATAAAATAGATATGTAAGGCAAACTGTTATGTTTATTTCATCGTAGATAAATGCCTCCCCTCTGCTCATGTTGTTTACAGTGCTATGATATTCTAGGCCACTGTTTCTAGGGTGAAACGGAAATCACTTTCTTTGACGGATGATGCGTATAAATTGATATAATTCCTGCTTTATCTTAACAGATTAATCATAAAATATGCGAGATGTTGTTTTTCTTTGAGCCGACAGTCACACACACTCGAGAAGGGGTTCATTGGTGTATAAGGAGAATTACGGGAAGAGGAAGTTTTGGGCCAAAGCAGTCTCCCCTCCCTAAACGTGTGTGATAACGAAAAACACCAGTGGCCCTAGCGGATCGAAGCCCGCGCTGAGCGTTTTTATTTTTTTTTAATTTATGGAAGCCTCTGAAGGCTTTTTCAATGAGGCCCCACGGCAGGACAGTTTAAGGAATTTGCCTAAATTTTGCTTTCCAGCTATGAATTATGGTGCCCTGAAGAGTTGCCAAATGTGTCCTTACGACGGAATGGTCCTCGAACAAGGCCGCTAAGGTGGAGACCATGCCAGGGAGGAGAGTCCCGCGTCACGGTAAAGAGTCCTACTACATGGCTGGAAACTGGTGACACTAATCACTCACCTGGAACTTGGAAGTACCAATCAGACATAGGGGCACTAATCACCATTAAGAAGGCAGTAGTGCGCTACATTTTCAGTAGCGGTAGGGGCGCTACATTTAAGCAATTGTAGCGGTAGCGGTAGCGCCCGCCACATATTTAAGTAGCGATACGAGGTTTTGCCGCTACAGCGCTACCACTACATTTATAGATAAAGCCTTTAGATTTTACTTAGTAGTATTAAATATAATTTAAAAACCAGCATGATCCATACATAATATAAATTACAGAATAAAACTGAACAAAAGATTCCGGTGTAATGTTGTCAACCTCAGCCTGTTACTAGTGTCAACATGTTAGTTGTTAGTCCAGAGGTGGGAAGTAGCGAGCTACATGTAGCGGTAGCGGCGCTACATTTAAGCAATTGTAGCAATGATAATTTGCTAACGTTTCCTTAGGTCAACACGGTTCTACATCTTGGTTAAGGAGATGTCACGACCAGAAAATGTCCAGAAAACTTAGTCGTGGTGTTGAATCATCTCAGCGGTTTGCAGTGGGAGGCCGGAAGTGTTTATAGGTGTTCAGGAGTTCATCTCTAGCTAGTATCCCAGCCGGCTCAACGTCTCGGAGACGGACAGTGCTGTCGCATCCAAGGGTACTTCCAAATTCCGAGAGAGATGATGTGGCAGCCTGCCGCAACAAGCTGCAGTCACGGTAGCTCAGCACAGTAGGTACACCTCTTACTTAAAACATAACATAGTGATGTCAGCACTAAAGAGTAGGCATGTTGTGGCCTGTCGCCGAATCTTTACCTTTACGTGACATGTTCATAGAAGATCTATAATCTTGTCATTTGATCGGATATTTTCAAGACTGACGATAGTTTGAAATAGCTACTAGACTTCCACCGGGTTCGATATGGTGCTAGGCATTTCACCGCCCCCGTGACTGCTGTCCTGTCACCATCCCCGTGACTGCTGTCCTGTCACCACCCCGTGACTGCTGTCCTGTCACCACCCCCGTGACTACTGTCCTATCACCACCCCCGTGACTGCTGTCCTGTCACCGCCCTCGTGACCGCTGTCCTGTCACCACCCCCGTGACTGCGACCTAGAGATCCTGTCTCGCCTCCTACACTCTGAGGACGACGCTCAGGTGCTAGAACGCACCCCACAGACCGGCCACGTGAGCTGGTTTTAATTTTGTTGACCATCATGCGCCATATATACTCAATCCATTATATCACGCCACTCATTTAATTTCTGCTTGTCAATCGATTAGTAAAGAGGACCTTTCTGTGAGAGATTTAAAACAAATTCTTCTCAGTACACTTTAGACCGTCAAAACTGTTTATTTTAATCCCCCCAATTATACATCCCACTGTGATAGAGTAAAAGACTTTATGCATATAGCGGCTAGCGCACACCTTGCTATCTCTGGTCGATCTCCTGCAACATTTTGTCAAGGAACATGTGACCAGGATCTATCCCTACAGACCCGACAGTAACCCGAAGATGAGCACCGCTAATTAGGTCTAAATTGTTAAATTTGCGTTATATCTTTAGAGATTCAGAGTGAAGTTTCGCAAAATCCATCAAATGTACGAAGTTAATCGTTAAAGAGACGTATATATTTTCATTGCTTCACCGCGTGCGCTTCGTTTAGTTAGGTTGTATACATTGTTGATCACACGAAACACTTCATCGCAGCGAAATGTGATTCTCATTACGAAAAATTAAATACTGAAAGATAATTTGCAATTGAAGTAACCGAAGCAAAATAAATCACATTTAGCAAGCTATTTGAACCCACGTAGTATCAGCTAATATTCCGCATCGCTACTAAACAGAACACGTAATTCATACTTTGGAGCACAAATTTTCACGTACGCAAATGTGTACTTTTATTGAATTTAATTTGAATGAAATTTAAGTGTACGAAAATTTACGCAACGATACGTTCCGAAGATTCATGTGTCGCACGTTCTGAAGACTCGCGCATCGACCGTCAAACAATTTGTGAGAACGGCAGTTCAAATGCTAAATTACAGTGTCATATAAAAATTGTGGCCTAACATGTGGATGTTGCTGTTATCTTGATAATAAATGAAAACCTTACTTGTATATTACTTGTATATTCATCCTGTTAACATCTTGTCAGCGGATTCTGAGTCGTTCTATAAAAAATATACACGCTGAACCAGTATAATCACTTATTACTTAAAATTTTGAGGTTATATGTCAGCATTATTATGTCACGGAACTTCTTAGGCTCACGCTTTACATTAATCTCATTAGTGAAAGTTATATTCGTTAATTCTACCATATGTTTTCATCGTCTTTATTTTTGTCATTTTTCCTTGTGAATCGAAAATTCTGTCCACAAATGTGTGGATTTTTCATGAATAATTTTGTTTACATGTTATTTAATTCTGCATTATTTAAAAAAATTTTTACGTAATTTCATCTGAAATAATTAAATTTGGTTTCATTTTATTATCAGGATGTGAAACTAAGAACATATTTACTTGTTTAGCGCACATACAACATCATTTAATGACGCTCAGAGTTGACACTTTGCAACGTTTGCAACGAAACTGATTCGTCGTAAGGCCTCGAGCTGAATTTAATTCGTGTAAAGAGCACAAATGAATTTTGAATCAATTCAACGATGTTTCATGTGCAAAAAAAATGTTACCAGAATTGATTACTGAGAAGCGACAGATCGTCGCCACGGTGAGTATAAATCGCAGATTGAAGCAAATCATGATATTCGACCGGTGCCTGCCGCGATTTGTCGTGTTTCTCATTTTGTTTAGATCGTCTGAGGATGGACAAAGTCATGCTTCTTGCAAGTTCGTAGAGCAAATGTTTTTTTAGTCGAAAATACAAACTAACTATCTGACCAAAAAAATCGAATTATACTCAAATATTATTTAAGGAAAACACAGTCGAACATAACGCAATTCTTGAAAATTCAAAAGAGGGTCACGCAAATCCCGGTTATTTTTAAATGCTTTTATTCGACTAGTAGAGTGAGACGATATAGTGAAGTATATTTGTGAGTCATCACAAGGTGGAGCTGCCATTGTGTTGTGAATGAGCCACGACTGTTTTCTAATCAGTTGAAACATCTTATCATGATATCAACGATAAGATACGTATAAATTCTTAAATTTACGACAAGGAACGCTTTGTGTAGTAAATGAAAAACACCTTGGATATATGTCACCTACATTTGTCCCTATGCAAAGAAAAAATACAATGCTGAATATTCTTCGTCGGTGCAGAATTTAAGATTTTAAAACGATAAGCCGATTACAGACTTTGAACAAGTGAATGATAACAACTCATGGCCATCTAAGCCGACATCTAGGAAAACGAGTCCTCAATAAATGAAATTGTCAGTATCTCCCATAAGAAACCATAATAAATAGTATTACCTATAATACTATTTGATTTTTATTCGCACAAATTTTCACACTCACTTAATTCATTGCGGTTACTTTTTTTTATATGTCCCTAACAAGAATGTCTAAATATCGAATAGCTCTTACGAAAACTGCTTAGAATTCTCCTGTATCATTTCACTTATTATCAGTTTAGTTCAAACGTTGCCAAGTGGTGAAGATATCAGAAAACTAATAATAGTGACGAAAAACTTAGATAATTTGAGGAAATTAAGAATGGTGGAGAAATATTAGAAAAACTAAGAATGATCGGGGGAAAAAATTATTTAAAAAAAAGTATGACTGGTGCAAAAAAATACTTAGAGATAGACAATTTCAGAAAACTGAACTGAAAAATAAATTAAGATAATTTCAGAAAACCAAGAATGGTGGATAACAAAACTAAGATGATTTCATAAACTATGATTGAGACAACTTAGAAACTAAGAAAACAGTTTCAGACTGACTTTCTGACTATGGCCCTATATTTCACTTATTATCAGCTGAGTTCAAACGTTCCCAAGAGGTGAAGCTTTCAGAAATAAATATTATGAAGCACTGTCAGTCTTTTAAATAAAACTCCTGCGCATGATTGAACTTGGATGTTCCACTCATCGTTATTGCGCCGTTCAGAACTTTCTCATTATTGTACTCATTTAGTTATTCAATAACGTAGATGATATAAATGACATTTCGAGAAATTAATAAGTTTGTTTTTATTTAGTTTTCATGCATAAATGTATAAGACTGAGAGTGAAATAAATTTTAAAATGAAAATTGAATAAAATATTGGCGCAACGACCAAGTTCGTTAACAAAGGATGCCATTAAATTTCCCAAATATGAAACCAAATCGCCAAGTGTTGCAGACTTCGGAAACTAATAATTGTACAATTTTTGTCTCAATGTTAATGTCTACGTCTGTATCAAATATAGATCTGTGCAACCGTAGCCGCATGAATTGGTTCAGTTCGAGAAGAAAAGAGTTACTGGTCCGTGTAGTAATCCGCAGGTCCGGAGGGGCGTTTATCGGTCAGCATTGCGATGTCCTTGGCGGGAGAAGGGAGGGACGAAATGAGGTTCAGGAGAATTGATTCCAGTGCCACCATGCGGCTTTCTAAATTCTGAAATTAATAATTTTTTAAAATTGATTTACTGTATATATTGATAGATTGTCAATTCACTAATCTAGTGTTTCGGATATGAATATTTTACGTATTTACAAAAAGTTATTCCTGCCATCCAGAGGTAAAATCGATCTTGTTTCGTGACATTCGGATAGTGCAAAGCAACAAGACTTGACACTTCACAAGAAAAAACGCACTATTTTTCGCAACACCGTCTGTCGTAATGATTATTCGATGTCTTTACCTTGTAAGACTGTGATCGTGACTGCTGAAGGAGACGTTGCTGGTCAGTCGGCCACCTGCCGTTGCCGCGTAGTGATCGCGCTGCTGTTACTAAAGCGTCTTCCCCTCCGCCATTTTTTGTCGGGTCATCACCGCTGCGCTTGCCATTAGTCCAACCTAACCAAGAAGGCAAGAAACATTATTTTAGTAGTGAAATTTGTTCAATCGGATACTTATTAAAAGAAGTAATTATTGGCCGTCAATGACGCGTGAGAGGCGTGACTCGCACTTCAGTAACTAGCAGTACAAATTCCATATTTTTTTACAAGGATATATTCTATTGCGTCTAATCGGTAAAGATTAATTGTAATGCTTTTCTTTAACGTCATTAATATTTAGTATTGAATTCCGCAGGGTAATTACTTCGTTTTCCATGGAACCCAGCAACATGAAATAATTGGCGAATTATATGTCAATTCAAGTATATAATATAAATAGCAGTACCAGTAAGCAATAGTATAAGTTATTCTGCTGGTTATTCCCTTGACAGGAATTTGCAACAGCTTCACCAAACCTGTTCGCAATATATATCGAAAATTCAATAGATCGAAGTAAATAAAATGCCATATTTCGAAGGAATATCTTCCATTTTTAATTTTATTCTTTTAACTCTAAGGAGTGTCGTCATATGGTTTTTCACAAAGCAAGACAGGCCACGACTAACGAATAACGATATAATTTTCACCTCTGCTGTACTGGAAAGTCTGAGCCTCTGCCAGCTGTACGATGACCACGACCAGCAGCGTCGCTGCAAACAAGGTCCTCATCTTCCAGATTGAAATTGCCGGCATCTTGCTGCGATCGAAAAAAGTACAAAATATTTTGCGTCTTAGCGACGACAAAGATCTTAGATAAGATATTATTCTATTACCAACCCCAACTATTTCTTGATTAGGTGGCACTGTGGGTAGGTACCATGACTGACGAGCAGAGAGTTGTGGGTTCGATCCCAGCTACCTGCCGGTGCTGTGCAGAAGGCCGGGCGCTCCAGCACAGCAAAATTTGAGCATTGAGTTGCGTGTTCAATGCATAGATTTTTCTAACATACAAAGTATTTATATACACACATCTATATATGTTTGAAGACTAATATGTTTCTTCCACGACTAAAATTGTTGTAATTAGATCGTATAAAAAAAGACTTGGATTTTGTAAATTATTTGCTGCACAATGATACCTTGCACCATTTAATTGAATTTTATTTCGACTGCTCTTGCGCCAAGACTTAATTTTTAACTAGCCAATTTTTACATAATTAATTTTATAAATTTGCAATTTTATTTTAACCACCGGATTTATATATTTTTATATAAGCAAAAAGTCATCGATCTTTAGTGCAATCTGACGAATTTTTTTTACTTCATAATATGAAATATATGCAGTGATGCGAGACTTTTTATTATACTCGATAGATTTAGTTCGCCGCTTCTTAACCACCCAGCCACCTTCCTCATTTCGACCAGAATTTTCACAAGTTTCGTTTTGCAAGTTTCGATCCCCCTACTCGCTGCTTACAAAAAAATTGCACCTTACAATAAAATATTTACACCTTAAAAAAGATTTCCCAAGTAAATTATATGCAAGGCACCTGGTATGATGGTTTATCGCTGAAGGTAAGTCGACGAGTGGTGCAGAAACAAGCCGCTGATCAACCTTATATACCTGCGAGGTTGTTATTGAATACACCACGACCAGCAGCGTCGCTGCAAACAAGGTCCTCATCTTCCAAATTGAAATTGCCGGCATCTTGATGAAATCTATAAAAAAGGAAAATATTTTACGTCTTAGCCACGGCAAAGATCTTAGGTAAGATATTATTATATAACTAACCCCAAATATTTCCTGATTAAGAGCGACTGTGGCCTGTGGGCACCAAGACTGGAGCAGAGAGTTGTGCGTTCGATCCCAGCTACCTGCTACAGTTCAGGTCAAATCGGCGAGGTGGCCCGGCGCTTCAGCACAACAAAATTGGAGCATTGAGTTGCGTGTTCAATGGCATAGTTTTATTCTAACATACAAAGTATTTATGGACACTCATCTACTATATCTGTCTGAAAGCTAATACGCTACTTCCATGACTAAACTTGTTGTGCATAGATCGTATACAAAAAGACTTGGATTTTGTAGCATATTTGCTGCGCAATCAAACTTTACACCATTTGATTGTATTTTATTTCGACTGCTCATGCGTCAGACTTTTAGAGCTCTTTCAAAATTCTCCATGCTCAAGACCTTGCTGGCTAAGTTTTACGTTATTAATTCTATAAATTTGCAATTCTATGTTATACCACCGATTGATATACATCTATATAAGCAAAAAGTTATCAATCATTAGTGCAATCAGACGAATTATTTTTACTTCGTAATATGAAATATATGCACTGGCGAGAGCTTTTTCGATTATACTTGATAGACTTTGTTCGCCGTTTCGTAACCACTCTTCCACCTTCCCGATTTCGACCAAATTTTTACAAGTTTCGTTTTTGCAAGTTTCCATCTCCCTACTCGCTGCTTACGAAAAGACTTACACCTTACAAAAGACTTCCCAAAGTAAGTTGTATGCAAGGCACCTGGTATGATGGTCTCTCGATGAAGGTAAGTCTACGAGTGGTGGAGAAACCATCCGCTGACCAACCTTATATACCTGCGAGGTTGTTATTGAATACTTACCCTCGGGAATGCACGCTCCAGCCAATATACGACGAGGGAATAGGCATGCTCTGAATTTCATATGAATGCATAGGAAATGTAAATCACTCTTTTGAAATTTAATGAGAAATTGGAAAAATTCAATGCAGAGGAGGAAATTTTGAATGGAGTGACGTAAGTATGTGGGTTGTTCGAGCCCTTGCTTGAAATAAGCAGGCCAAGAAACTGATCACGTTATCTAGGTTTGTTAGTAACTTCCAATAAAACTTGTGAGATAATTAACCCTCATATATCAACATCTGAAAGAATTATGTCTGTAGAACGCCTCTTCACGCAAGTAGTGTCGGAGTAACTTTTGGCGTCCTAAAGCCGGGGCAGTTCACAGGGCGGTGGTTTTGGTCCTATTCGAATGTGCAATTGCCAGAAGTTCGGTTCTTAGCGTACGTTAATTTTTCAGAATCTTCAATGCATGTGGAATTCAAGAGATTGAGACGCGTATTTGAACCGTATTTTGCGAGCAGGTCATATCACCGATGGCTTGGAAGTTGCTCATCCAGGAAAGACTGGACTGCCAGTATGAAGCACTAGCAGTAAAATTGATATTTAGCAGAAACGTTGCGTGGCCCCTAAATCGGCGAATGTGTGGATATATGCTTAACAGCAAGGCACGTTCCTTTTTTCAACTTTTCTACCTGATGTTTATTGAGACATCCTCCTCAAGTAAAAATGGATAACGGCTGAAAGGTAATAAAAGGATAACCCTTGTCGAACAGCATACGTACGACTGTACCTACACTGGGTACGATTATAACGTTGTAAAATAACGCAGTCTGACTGTCCGATAATGGTTGAAGTCTCTGACTCAAATAATCTCACAGTTACCATTCTCTGAGCATCGATTTTGGTCACAAAATTCGAAAAGCCAAATGCTCTGACCCACATTCTACATATTCATTGATCTGATTGCTTGCATAAAAGTGATAAAACCGAAGAAATTATATAGTCTTTCGAAAGGCGTCAGCCGTTTTAGTGAGGATTAAACGCTCCAGTGAGGGCGCTTTAGCTCATTATACCTTTGTTGGAGTGTTTTTAAGAGTGTCAATTACATTAATTGGCAAGGTACCCTCTACCAGATACACGAAAAATTGGACTATTGTTTCTTCTCTAACGCAACGAAGGTATAGTGCTCAAGTTTGCTCTGCATTCATTTCCATTATACTCGTAGAATCATTACCCCGTGTTTCGCCAACACGACCAGATTTAATTTTTTTTCTACATTTGACATTTGTGATGATCAGTGATTTTAACTTCAACATTGAGCAGAAAGTTGCAGTCAGAATGCAATAAAAAGAAACCTCATCGGCTTTTTCAGGGCATCAACTGAGCGTGCACATCAACAATTTCACCGGATGAAGTCTGTATCATAAATATCATGTTGAGTCGATATTAATTTAAAACTCGTTTCGAATTAATTAATCTTTTCCGATCAACCCTGAACATCTTCGATCTCATAATTAAAAACAAATAATGAAAATTTTTAAAACAACAGAACTCTAGTTCCGATATGATCTGATGATTGTAATAAGGTAATACACATTCAAGTATATCGCGGAAAAAAAAAAACAAGTATGATTAGCGAGGGACTAATGTTTTACGTCAAGGTTCCGGCAGTAAGCTAAGTAGTAACAACGTATATGTGGCAGCATACAACGAAAAAGTGTTTTTTTTTAGGGGGTCATGATGGTGATCGATGCTGGTAAGTCGGTCGAGGAGGAGGTGTAGCCGAGCTTTCCATCCCTCGCGTGGCTAGCGATCAAAGCAAAATATTCACTTTTTAATCTAAACAAGTTCCGTCGTAGGAGGCAAGAGGCATCAATCGATTTTCTGCCTACACGTTTTCTCACTTTGTAACACGTATAGAATGTTGGTGCGTTTCAGATTAGCCTGCAATCTTTGTAATTTAATTCTAATACAGCAAAATTCATTGAATAAAATTATTGTTTATAGCGACTGGTAAAAGCATCGACTATTGCAATTCGTGATGGAACAAACCACCAAGGATTTTAAATGCCCGAATAACAACACTTGCGTTAGAATCGACCCCTCTATACCAGTATGTCTGTCTATACACAATCTCGAAACGCATCATTTTCCGCACACTCTTAGCTCTCATGCTTAGCTCTCGCCTGAGCAATCTTGGTCACTCGCCTGAAAGTAACGCTGCCTAACCCCACATTCGAGATTCGCAGTTAGATACCTTGAGCTGTGTAACGAGTGCTCATGGACAGTGCCTTCAGTAACGCCACTTTAATTGGACTTCCGATGACTCGCCTGAGAGGACCCACCAAAAAATGTCAGAGACACGTCCAATCATACGTTTACACTGAAAATCGACTAAGACTAGCAGAGAGTGTTATCACCCGCGACTCATCTCATTCACATCACATCCAAGTAAAAAACTCACTTTCAGAAATCTGCTCATTCTTGGGAATATATTCATCGTATCGTCACGTATCTCCCGCGGGGCGGTGCTGACTGTGATACCTTACTGGCCAATACCGTAGGGGGAAGCATGGTTGAATTAATACATATTAATTCAACCATGGGGGGAAGCATCCTACGCGGTACTGGCTTCTGTGATTCACAAGACAAGAGGAACTTCAACAAACGCGCACGTGGGTTTTGTTGTAGTGGTTGGATAGTTTCGCCATGGCAAAACAAAAAGCATGGTAAAATTTTATATTACTACATCCGCTTATCCATGGCCGTTGAAATAGGGTCCATCTTCACCAAAGATCACGGCTTCATTGGGAAATAAGTTAGTATGTAGCGCAAACGCATAAGCTAATGCATAAGCCGATCAATGTTAGCTTCACAAACAATTTTCGTCTTCAAAAATTGATTCTAAATAATAATAACATTTTATCTCAGTTTAAGCTTCGGTAAGACGGTAACGATCATGTAGCGGCAGTTGATGCAGTCAAGCGAGTGAAGATAATAATTTATTAGGTTGAATATGTTACTCAAACTCATACACACCGACGATTAATTTGACCAAAAATTACTGTAGATAATCGCGGTAGAAACGTTTTAAATTTGAAATGAATACAACACGCTCAGAAGCGTTGAACCATGAGATTGAGAAATATATTCAGATACTAGATGGTAAACTCGGCGCTACCATGCATAGATGGAAAATGATAGAGATTCGAAAAATCCTCTTATTTCGACTACTGGCATTCGAGGAGATTTGTCAGACATTTATTCGAGACTTATCCAAACTTCGTTCTATATGTTTCCAGAAAAATTTTATAGCATTTCCGAAGTTCTTTCGTTATTTTATGACATTAACTCGACATTTTTCAAGTTTGCGTTGCACAAGAGCGATATTTCCTGTGATTTGAGAATCCCGTCCTGCCGAATCCTGTCATCTTTAATAATTATAAAACTTAAATTTGGATATTTTACGGCAATGTTAGAATCGAATTTCAATTTTTGATCCATGCCTTTTGTCGTTTCGCAATCCCTCATGATTCCAGCACTAAACAATATTTAAGGCACAGGTAATATACCGTTACGATAAATTCCGTGGATGCGCACGCGAGTAGCCTCTGTATATATATTTAAAGAAAAAGAAAATAGCGGTTTCACCGTTTAGTAGGCCTTAGGCCTGTCACTGATTCTTAACATTGCAGAACATTCACAGCTTGTTGCGGTCTCGAACTCACTACTACAATTCTGCGGTGTAACCGCCCGGCCTCTTCGCCGATTCTGACCAGAAACTGGCGCACAGAGCTGGGATCGAACCCGCACCTCTCTGCGCCAATCTTGGTACTCTGAACTGTTCAAGGTGCCCAACCGCAAACGAATATCTAATTTTGACAAATACAAGTATATAAAAAACATTTTTAGTATATAATATTTAGATTTTAAAATTTGCACGTTTTGTAGCCTGGCGAAGTAAATAGGTCGGGGGCTCGGACGCGTAGCCACGATATGTCGTACCTGGACAGATATTACCGGGGGCTGTAATATCAAAAATTTTCAAGTGCACGTAGCGGTCGATTTCTCGTCTATGATTGGTTGGTTCAGCTTAAGGGGAGCGTCTGCCACAAAATCGAAAATTTTTACTTTTTTTGGTTTTTATACTCATCTTTAAGCTTACATTCTGACGCATCTAACGGTACCAAAACCATCTCTGTACGTTGATTTATGCGTTTACGACAAAGCACGAAAGGGTTAGGGGTGGTGGAGTTCTTCAACATTAAATACAGTATAGGCCGAAATTACCAGTAGCATACTTAAATAGCTAGTCTGAACACGCTGTGCTTAAGTTATCCGTCTGCAGTCGTATGGGATGGTTCTCGTGCCGTCGTTCACACCATCCTTGACAGAAATTGAGCTCAAATATCGTCTAGTCTTGCAACCTTGCACCCTTGAATGTCTTTTTCGAGGCGCGCGCGACTTTTTCGGGCCCTACTGAAAAGTTAACTTATTGTCACTGCAGACCTATCTCCTCCTAGAGTTTTGAAGCTACATCAATGAGACATATACCGTTCGATTTGCAAATAAAATATCTACAACTGGAGGGAGGCTTTTTTCCAATTTCGTTATAGTTCGGATTTTATTTTGCAAAAAGGGGGGCGGGCGGGGGTAAAATTGGAAAATTTTGAAACATTTCGGAAAAAATGCCCCCACACTCACAAAAATGAGAAATTCAAAAAACCCTTTCCTCCAGTTGTAGATATGGTCTTTACGCATCGAATGATCTGTGTCTCGATGTTGTAGCTTGAAAATCCTAGGAGATAGATTTCTACAGTACCCCTTTTTTGGCCGTTTTCTAGGAATTTCACGTTTTCTTTCATTTTTTCGAAAAATTCACAGGAGCAAAAAGAAAATCAGAATTCCGTGTTACATACGTGTACCAAATTTTGAATCGATCCGTCTGTTGATATCGCAGATCTTTTTTGGGGCAGACGCTCCCCTTAACAAGCCTTCAGTTATTGGCGGATGAAGTTAAGAAATTTCGTTATAGTTCGGATTTTATTTTGCAAAAAGGGGGGCGGGCGGGGGTGAAATTGGAAAATTTCGAAACATTTCGGAAAAAATGCCCCCACACTCACAAAAATGAGAAATTCAAAAAACACTTTCCTCCAGTTATAGATATGGTCTTTACGCATCGAATGATTTGTGTCTCGATGTTGTAGCTTGAAAATCCTAGGAGGAGATAGATTTCTACAGTACCCCTTTTTTGGCCGTTTTCTAGGAATTTCACGTTTTCTTTAATTTTTTCGAAAAATTCACAGGAGCAAAAAGAAAACCAGAATTCCGTGTTACATACATGTACCAAATTTTGAATCGATCCGTCTGTTGATATCCCAGATCTTTTTTGGGGCAGACGCTCACTTTAACAAGCCTTCAGTTATTGGCGGATGAAGTTAAGAACTCTTAACCACTTTTGTAGTTATGAAAGCCCCGCGACCTGAACATATATTCTCGATGTTAGAATGTTTAGACATTGCAAAGCTTGGGAGGAAAACAACTGGATCAAAAGTTGACATTTTATTTACAAATTAGTGCATATCCAGTTAATTTAGAGCACGCAAAGCAAATACTTCAAATTTTTAAATTGATGAAAAGGAACTTCCCAATTCCAAAGTTAAATCTGACAATGAAATGGTAATTTTTTCAGTTAGCGTACTTTGGGATCATTATTTTCAGAATCGGAGATTTCTTGATTCTAAAATTGCAGGCATTATCGATCCGAGATAGCGCCGGGCTTTTCTGCTATTATATTCATTTACTGGAAATACTTTCTAAAAAGCCAACGCTAGGTCTTAGATACGAAGTATGGCATTTTAGCCAAGGAATTTTCTTCATTAAATTTTTTTAAAAAGCTGGAAATTTGCAGGGAAAAATTTAGGAAGCTGAGAATTAAATATATATTTACTATATAAGAATGTTTATCAGTTATTGGATATTGTACATCACATACAAGTACAGAATTCCAAGGAAACTTAAAAATAACGTTGCACAAAAAATTATTTGTAACAGATAATGCAGATCAACGAAAGATTTGTGAAGCAGCGATGTACAAAGCTGATAATCGCATGTACATGAGATGTAAGATTCATGGTGAGGCTGGCGGGGAATAGATGAGGCTGAACTTATTTGGTAGAGCAGAGTTTGATGTGAGGGACGTAGATGCTGACGTATTAGTGGCCGTGAGTTTGGTGTGAGGGACGTAGATACTGACGTATTAGTGGCCGTGTGTTTGATGTGAGGGACGTAGATACTGACGTATTAGTGGCCGTAAGTTTGATGTGAGGGACGTAGATGCTGACGTATTAGTAGCCGTGAGTTTGATGTGAGGGACGTAGATATTGACGTATTAGTGGCCGTGAGTTTGATGTGAGGGACGTAGATGCTGACGCATTAGTGGCCCTGAGTTTGATGTGATGAGAAGGGTCGTAGATGCTGTAATTTGTACCTTGATGCTCGTTGCAGGAGCATTTCAGGACCCCACGAGGAAGTGACTCTGGCACTGACCTGTCGAAACGAAATGCATAGAATAACAAAAGGAGCGTTGGCAAGAGGCTTTCCAATCTTCACATCGAGACAAAATAAATCGGTGAAAGGCTCGCCAATTATTATTCAAGGTAAGTCATAACAGAGACCAAAAACCTACAAGTAGTTAACAACATTTATAGCAGAAAATTCTTTTTATTTGCACGCATACATGATATTGGATGATCTACAATGGAGTGTTTCAACTCGTGGGATAATGCACTTTTCTTTCAATAACCAAACGTCATATATTTCAGATACCTTTTTTGGGGAATCATGATCATAACAACCAAATCCAAGCAGATCATATCATCCACTACTTGTGAAGTTAAACCTTTGTTTGAAAACGATTACAAAATTCATTGTTCACTTTAGGGTCACGTATCAATTAATCATAACGATTGAAAATGGCAACACCTGCAAAAACCTTCCGGAAAAAACTGCAAAATAATCTAGAATGCAAAATAATGTAATAAATATAATCAAGAGCAACAGATCTTACCAATGAACTGCGAGACGAGATCGTTGTCGCTGGAGCGAATAGTTCCTGTGATGTCGTCGTTCTCTACGAGCGGCAGGAATAGCTTTATGAAGTCTAAAGAATAGGGAGCCGCCACGATCTCCAGCACCTTGAGACAGTGAAAAAATACAAAACGAATAAGAAAAAATTTTTCTAGAAAAAAATATTATCTCATAAAAAGAACCTAAATGATTGACTATAAATTACAGTACGTACCTGCGCAAGAGACATTCAAGACTGTTTTAATCAATTTGTATTCTCCCTGTCAGTGGAAGAGCCTGTACCTAGATGTAACATTGGCAGCAGTGATATGCGTTTTGAAATTATTGGTGAACTGCCTACTGTCACTAGGCTCTTCCTTTTGACTGTACATAAAATGCAATGAGCCAAATAATTTGAATGAAAAAATGGAGAATCCAGTAAGTAGATAGCTGGTGTGAACCTCTCGGACGAAGTATCTGATGAGGGAGATGTCGGTGTCGTCTTTGTCTGTGCAGCTCTTGATGTAACTCATGACAGGGATGACACAGCCACGGCTCAGCAGGTGCACCATGCGGTCCAGCAACATCTTGCGCACCTCCAACTGCACGCAATATTGACGTCATTATACAGATCGCAAATATAAATGCACGCGTTGTGTGTGAATCAAAGGTAAACAATTCTCCCGCAACTATTTATAATTAACAGCAGCAAATACAATTAAATTTGACGGCCGAGAAGAAACAGACATCAGCAAATACAACAAAGCATCAACATTATTTCTATATGAAACACTAAACTCGGTTAGCCATTATTTCCTCAGATAAATCGTCACGTTTAACGTTTCTACGAGTTTGTTAATACTTTGATAAGCAATCAATTCGCCATACCTGAACTAATATTTCGAGGTCATTTTGTTCAGACTCGAAAAGTTCGATGAGGAGCTGTAGGATGGGCGTGTGCAGGAGTGGGTGTAGAGTGACCACTTCGTCGAGGAGAGCAAGCTGTGTGGGCACGGCTTCTGTGCACAGCTTGAAGAAGGTGGGCTCTTTGACCACACACTCCACCCACCTCACCACGCCCACGCTCACAACAGGGAATCTAGAGACAAATAAAGGATTGATAAGAAAAAGTGTGTAAAAAAATGTCGATTAAATAAAAACATGGACATTTTCAACGTACAAGCTGTTCATTGAAAACTCGGTCAAAATACATTATTTGTGTAATTTCATTTCATCAGAAGAAAGTTTAACAAGTACAAGTGCAAAAGATCAAAGTTAAACTCACCGTATGCATGAATATAATGTCTGTATTTCAGCTATGAGCTCCATGGCATTGCGACCTCCCAGGCAAATGCTGTGTACTTTTTCGATGGCCTGCTGAGTTTGTTTCAAGTCATCTTTACAAACCTGAAGTAGGTAAATACGTATTAGTAAGCAAGCAATTGGAAGAGGCAAGTAATTGGAAGAGGCAAGCTGACGTGTTCCTCACAAGGTCATTGCATATCTGAAGGCAATGTTCAATAATCTTTTCGGACAAACATAAAACAAAAGCACATAAAATACAATGGTAATAAGCGATATAGTAGAATTTAATTTGGCATTTACGGCTTATTTAGTCAGAAATGATGCAAGTTTGCGAGCAAAAACATGCACAAGTATTCGAAAATTTACCAAAATCTCACACTTACACCAACTAAAAATTAAATTTTTAATGAAAAAAAATCAAAACTGCCTCGCACGCGAGAAGGAGCTCACCTGGCCGGGTTTCTTGCCTTTCTTGGGCGTCTCGTAGACGCTGGCGGCGTACGCGAGGAGGAAGAAATACTTGAGTTTGTGCTCAGGGTTTACTTTGCTACCTGGCTTGAAGAGGGCGTCGATCAGCAGCTCTGGCAAACAACAATTAACTTCTTGAGTTCTAAGTAAACAACAATGAAAAAATATTAAAACATCATTTGTACAAAAATCATTGAAATTACATATTTTTAAAAGGTTCAAAAATGAAAATGAAAGCCAATTATTGGAAATAAGTAAACCAGCAGCTGAATTGAAATTATGAGTCAACTTTGATTTGAGGTGTTACTGGTAATTAATTAATCGGCAATATTTACCCAAAAGTTGCTTTACTCAAAGGGAATAAAGGGCCGCGGGTATTCGCTGAATTAATGCAGTTACCTAAGTCACAGGGCGTGAGTATTTACTCAGGAACTGCGGTATTCTGAGGAAGTCTCATGAGTATTCACCCAAGAACTGCGGTATCCTAAAGAAGTCTCGCAAGTATTCACCCAAGAACTGCGGTATCCCAAAGAAGTCTCGCAAGTATTCACCCAAGAACTGCGGTATCCTAAAGAAGTCTCGCGAGTGTTCACCCAAGAACTGCGGTATCCTAAAGAAGTCTCGCAAGTATTCACCCAAGAACTGCGGTATCCCAAAGAAGTCTCGCAAGTATTCACCCAAGAACTGCGGTATCCTAAAGAAGTCTCGCGAGTGTTCACCCAAGAACTGCGGTATCCTAAAGAAGTCTCGCGAGTGTTCACTCAAGAACTGCGGTATCCTAAAGAAGTCTCGCAAGTATTCACCCAAGAACTGCGGTATCCTAAAGAAGTCTCGCAAGTATTCACCCAAGAACTGCGGTATCCTAAAGAAGTCTCGCGAGTATTCACTCAAGAACTGCGGTATCCTAAAGAAGTCTCGCGAGTGTTCACCCAAGAACTGCGGTATCCTAAAGAAGTCTCGCAAGTATTCACCCAAGAACTGCGAAACTGCGGTATCCTAAAGAAGTCTCGCAAGTATTCTTGAACTTGAACTCGTCGGATGGTTGAGGCCTCTACCAAGGCCTGTTCATAAAGAAATAAAATAAAATATTCACCCAAGAACTGCGGTATTCTAAGAAAGTCAGGTGGCGGCGCGTCAGGGGCGGAGTAGAGCTTGTAGAGGAGGGTGATGTCTGCAGGGTTGAGGGCGTTGCGAGTGAGCATCGGCACCAGCGCCATGGCGGCGCGAGGGCAGGTGTTGGCACCACACAGAGCCAGCTGGATGGGCGTCACGTTGTACCCGCTGCAAGGCAACACACGAGGCTTTAACTTACATAACCATTACGTATAGCAGCAAGAGGTACAAACAACGTGATCATGAATAAAGTTATTCAGAAGACTGGAGATGACGATTGAATGTAAGCAGCAAGTAAATAGAACAAGAGAAGCATAAATGGTCAAGACGAACATAAAGATACACGTTGAATCTGATGGATTATTAACCTGGGTTGTGTGTGTTATTATTATTTATTAACCTGCCGACGGCGTATTTAGTTATTTCTTGTTGTAGTCTCTTGACATTAGATCCTCCTTTGGGCTCCTGAGCTAAGATCTGCAGCATTACTTGCGCGTACAGGTAAGTGTGTTGGCCGTGACACACCATCTTCTGCTCAACGCACAAAGCAATGAGGATGCATGGTAATTTGGGTTAAAAATATGACGTATTGAATACGTATAAATACGGACGGCATGGTTGGAAGCTTCTTCATATTTTCATACAATATGAAAATAATAAAAATCACAAGAAGCTAATAGCAATTCTTTCAGGACATGATTCACAGAGATGCAACTAAATCCATGCTTCTAAAAACATTATAACGCATGTCAACAAAGTTTAGAAACATGGTCGTGATAGACTGATACGAACTGGACTTATTCCCAACCATTGTTAAAGTACTGGAGTCACTAAGAATAGTAAAAAAGACCAATTGAACGCACAGCAAATTCTCTGACAGTTGTGCTGCGGGCGCTGTCTGTTGCCTGCAGGTACGCTGTGGTTGAAGTCTTCAGAATTCTAGAGAAAACTTCGATCTGCTGAGCTGCCGTCGATATGCTTCTGATTTCTCCTTGGAATCCAGCATCCGAGATGAGCTGGATGTACAAAAGTTAAAACAGGAGATAAGATATTAATGATTTATGTCCAATAAAAATATGATGATAGTAGCTACAATTATATGAAAATATTGATAATTATATAAATTTCATGTAATTTAAAAAGAGTGACAAGAAATATGATAAAATGTGAATATTTCTTGAGCAAATTTCGAAATCTTGAGCACTTTATAATATTCTTACAGCATGAAATTTCACCAGGAATAATTGTACCAAACAAACAGATCGCAATGTCCACGACTATGAGAAAGCATTGGCCTACGTTCTCGTCACCTTAATAGTAAAGTTGAGCATAAGGCAGTCAGGGAACTCCTCGGCCAGCTTGTAGACCACAGACCGCCACGTGCTGTGCTCGATCAGGTCTGTCAGCCAAGACGGCGCCTGAGAAAAGTTGATGAGAAACATGATGAAACAGGAGCGGCGGGAACACTGAACAATGAACATGATGAAACAGGAGCGGCGGGAAAACTGAAACACTGAACATGATGAAACAGGAGCGGCGGGAACACTGAACATGATGAAACGGGAGCGGCTGAAACACTGAACAAGATGAAACAGGAGCGGCAGGAACACTGAACAAGATGAAACAGGAGCGGCAGGAACACTGAACAGATAAAATATACTTACTGACAAAAAACATTGATGGAAATAATCCATGATTTAAACTAATGACAACAGAATTTCAATAATAAAAAGGCGGGCCAATAATGTTTATAATTTTCAACTCTGTCAAAAGATACATTCCCTGGTGTCACTGCTATATGGAAGGCAAGGCAACTAGAGGTTAGATCGCAGAAAGTTATGCATGAAAATTTTATTTATATGACATATTTTATATTTGAGGTGGATAATCTGTTTATTATAGAATTGAATTTGAATCCTGGTAAAAAATTATTCACTAATTGAATGTACTAAATAAATCGAGTAAATACTTACATCTCCCTCTTCGTTGAAGATTGTATCTGCCTTTTTGGGATCAAACGTTTTAAGAATGACACTTTTAAGATGATTTTCGACCATGGCTTGTACTTCATTGATGCTTGCTCCTAGAACATAAAGATTAAACACATAATTATTAATTTCAAGCATACCTAGTGAGCAAATTCTTGTCATTTTAATGCACAAGAGAGTTAGAAAGAATAAAATTGCTGAAGCAAGAAATTGGCTGATAGCAAACATTCAACTCCTATTATTAAAAGCTTTTGGAGTGAATTTAGAAATAAATTAAATTTAAATGATGAATTAAATTTGAGCACACCGTTTTCCTTGTTTTTGAAGTGTCAATTACTACTGAAGACTTAGGCCGCTTATTACCTAACCATTTAGAAGAATCCCAAAAAATAGATTTTGGGAACCAAAGGAAGTACCTAAGTAGTTTATTGGCAAAAATCCAAACATAATAAAGCTTTGTGAAGCATGAAGTTTGCACAAGACTAACCTGCTAAAATAAGCCACTCTGCCATGAGGTTTGCCATTTGTGCCATGGCCTGATAATTTTCTGACAACATTTCAATGACTTGTTCCGGGTTACCTCCAGCTTGAAAGTATCTGCAAGTAAAAATAAAAATATAATAATTTGCATAATAAATTGAATAAAAACTAGCATGGCAAGCAATGCATTGGGTATGCACAGTTATTGCTCAATGACACCTTCAATTTATAAAATATCAGGCATACAAATCAACTTCAGACTTGTCACAGCTACAGAAAAATTTAATAAATTAGAACAAAATTCATACGGGAATTGCAGGAAAAGCCAAAATAAACACAATAGCATCCGTGTTACCTCTTCAAAGTAGAAAAAATGCCGGGTTCCATTATGAAGTCTGTGGTGGCAAATTGCTCAAGGCAGTTCTGCTGCACCTCCAATGGTGCCACATCTTCACCTCCCTCACCAATGTCCATCATCTGCTCATGAAGAATTATATTAATGGAAAGAATTAATGCGCAAAGATGACAAGTTTAATGTCTTAGTTCATCAAATGAGGTCCCTACACACACACACACAGTGAAAATTCCAAGAAACATTTGCTGAAAACTTAATTTCAATGAATGTTTTCATAAATATGCATTTCATTATTATTTTAAACTTATATTATGAACATAATAACTATTACAAATTGTCTTTCTAAAAAAAGTGATTACTGTCATAATATGGTAAAAAACAGGTAGTGAAAGAAATATTACCTATTTTGAAAATATATAAACAGAATCAAAGAACTAAATTATGTTTATGGGGTCTAAATTAATTCAATTACAGTACCTACTATGTATGTACTTCCATTCACAAAAATGCAAATACATTTGCTTGATTAATTAAAGCTTTCACAGAGCAGGCCAAACACAGATAAGAATACAGAAAATTCTCATATGTACTTTGCTATCCATGGTGAAACTAAAAAACTTGAATAAGCTGCATTTGACAATAATGGCAACAGGATATATGATTATACCTATAAATATGTGCATATCTACAGCTCCTTTTAACCCTTTAGCAAGCAAGTTACTATATTTGTTAACTCAAAATCTTCTCATAAAAATATACACAACAGCCTCCACTTTGTTTGCTGTTACATTTATATGCCTCCGCCAATTACCAATAATCTGATCTTCATTCTAGACATCGCATCATCTCCTACCATGCCCAGAATAAAAATGTGAGCATTTAAGTGAGAGTTTTGACCAAATATGAAATTGATGCTCTTTCTGCATCTTTTAAAAGGCAGACGTGGCAATATCCATTCATTTATTCAAGTCAATTGGATGAAATACCTAGTAATAAATTGATGTTGGATAATTATTCGTCCATCTTCAAATTTAAATTATATATTTTTTGCCTAGTAACTGCATTTAATGAATTTTTTAATTGCATTTACTCCATCAATATGCAGAATTTTAGTAAATCCTTATGGATACATACTGGTACATCTCAAAATAGTTTAATTTTTTGTAATAGATTGAAAAATTTGATTTTTGCTGCATATTGCAATGCTTGCCCACAAATGGGTAATTCATGATGTAGTTATCCCAATTATAGCTTACCTATTTTGTTTGGAAATGGAAGATAATTGAAGTGAAATACCTACCAAAGTACCTGTATTACCTTACATTATTAACTCACCATTGAGACAGAATCGGTTGCTCCCTCCCAATTTCGTGCTACAAATTCATCCTCCATTTTGAATATGTTAAAAGCCTAAACCAAATGAAAAAATTAAGAGGAAATTTTTTCCACAAATTCTGCAAAGGAAACAGATATTAAAACATATGAGCATGAGTGATGCACAGCAGCATAGTTATGCAAGAGGTCCTATTTGTGCTCCTATATATTAGCAGTTGTTGGAGAGGTGTTAAGAGGAGAAGCCTCTCTCTTATTGGAACTATTGGACCACTTGGAGCACTGCCTTCCGGGCGCCAGCTGCAGCGGCGCTAGTTTGTCAGGTTGCCAAAGGCACAGTTCCCAACGTTCTTCCTGTTGCATTTATGGATCTCCTATAATTGATTTCAAACATATAGATGAGCAGAGTGATACTATGTTTATAAGTTATATTGGTGTTTTTTTATTAATGCAATTAGTACAGTTACCAGTATTTTTTTCTAAGTTAATTTCATAGGAAATCCATTGATAAGCTTTTGCTTTGGACAAGCTGCAGGAGTATCATCGATACGTACGTCAAGTCATACTTAATCAAGTCTTAATCATTTTTCTTGTGGACTAAAAAGTAGAAAATAAAATACTTAAAAAAAAAACTTTTTAAAAAAACCATGTTTTTCTTGTGGACTAAAAAGTAGAAAATAAATTATGGTTTGCCCCCAAAAAAAGTGGGTCGTGCTGTATGTTCATCATCAAATTTCCAAAATTTAAGTGTTGTGTGCTTTTCGCTTTAATCATAAATCTGCCCGACATACGTTTTTTTGGGGCGAACCATAATTTATTTTCTACTTTTTAGTTCACAAGAAAAACGTGGTTTTTTAAAAAAGTTTTTTTAAAGTATTTTATTTATTAATGCAATTAATACAATTACCAGTATTTTTTCTAAATTAATTTCATAGGAAATCCAATAAGCTTTTGCTTTGGACAAGCTGCAGGCAGTTTTCAATACAGATAATGCCACATCACTGGACTGACTTCTTTGAGACTTCAACCAATTAGCGCTGTGCATGAAGCTGCATCTATTTGTGAAGCTCTTCATGGCCAAGATATGGAATTAACGGTGAGGAGAAATGAATTCACAGCTGGCAAATACGTAAAACCACGGCTTGAATAATCCAGTCACAGCTCACCAAGTAGATTTATTCCATGCCTGATCTAAAGGTTATCTCCCTATTAATTAATGACTAGTATTTTCATTAAATTACCAAATGGAAAATGACTGATTCAGACTGAAGAAACTTACTGCCTAGGGTAAATGCGGTATATTCCGACACATTAAGGAGGCATCGAGAAATGAAAAACTATAAAAAAATAACCGTATGCGTTACTCAAGTTCTGTTTGCTTTATGTGACTCTCAAAACACCGTACTACGCGCCAGCAACGATGAAACGTCACAAAATGTAGCCATATTTATTTAAAAGCCTTTAGAATGCAAACCTACCAAATCCCTATATTCCGACACTGTGTGTGGCAATATTCGGCACGTGGTGAGGCGTATTCCGTCCACGCTTCAAATTCTACTGATACGTAATGCCGTCATCCACGTGTTTGAATTCCGTTCACTGTGTGAGCTGTATTGGAATACAACACGGCTTTGAATTAGAACACTAATGAATATTGAATACTACTTAATTACGCTTTTAATTAACAACTATTAAGCTTTTAATTAAGCAAATTTTAATTTTTGCTCATAGCTTGGAACGATCTGTGTGTGTCCAATTCAAGTTGTGACGGAATTAGATTTCATG